GAATAGGAGAGATTTGCACTGCATTTAGGCAGCACTGGGTAATGCTGTAGAGTTGTTATTTCCCTGTAATTGCAGAGTAATGATGATGTTATCCATTCGGTCTAGGTCAACTCTTATGACTCTAGGGGCCAGTTCTCTCCACACCTTCCGATCTTGAATTAGTTCTTTGAGTTGTTCTAGTCCAAGGGTCTTCAAACTTGGCAAGTTTAAGACTTGTGGACTTCAACTCCCAGAATTCCTGAGCTAACGTGATTGGAGGAGGGATTCTGGGAGTTGAAGTCCACAAGTCTTAAAGCTGTCAAGTTTGAAGACCCCTGTTCTAGTCTCTGGCTGGTGTGAGCTTTGATGGTGTCCAATCATTGTGTGCTTTGGCAGCCTGTTTTCCTTTTACTGCTAACTCTTCCAGCTTAATTGCTTTCTCCAGTGAAATTGCAGAGTGTTCTGTACGGTCATTACCATTCTTGTAGACCCGCACAGCGATTGGCCAAGACGCACGGCGAGCTCATTGGCCTAGCGAGCCGCACTGATTGGCCCGCCGCGAATCCCCCGCGATTGGTGGAAACTAATTGCGGGAGATTCAAAGTGGTGTCATTGGCCGCGGCCGCTGCGGCCAGAGAATAAAAGCCGCCGCTTTTCCCTTCGGAACCCGAGCCGATCTCGGGACTAATAAATGAGCTGAACTGAGTCACTGGTCCCCGAGTCTCCTTCATTGCGCCGGACACGACACAGAGTGCAAAGGCAAACGATAAAACCACTGCAGAAGTCAAGGGATTTATGGATAAATCACCAAATCCAACAGCATGGCCTTCCTTTCCCCTTAAATTTGGAAAGTTGTATATATTGAGCAGTTTAGTTTCATATCTGGTACAGGTAGTCCTTGACTTACCGTGGTGGCGCAGTGGTTAGAATGCAGTACTGCAGGCTACTTCTGCTGACTGCTGGTTGCCAGCAATTTGGCAGTTCGAATCTTACCAGGCTCGAGGTTGACTCAGCCTTCCATCCTTCCGAGGTTGGTAAAATGAGGATCCAGGTTGTTGGGGGCAATATGCTGACTCTGTAAACTGCTTAGAGAGGGCTATAAAGCATTGTGAAGCAGTATATAAGTCTATTGCTATTATGGCTGTAATTGAACCCATAATTTTGATTATAAGTCATGAAGGTTATGGTTTTCTTTTACCACTAACTCTTCCCAACATAATTGCTTTCTCCGTGTGACCAGACCAATTTTACTACCTTTTTTGTGACAGTCATTAAATGAATGCCACAGTCATTGAATGAACCTATTGTTTGTTACTGAGTGGTTTTTGCTGGAAACTGGAAGTAAATGTTGATTTTTGGGAACATATCATAAATCACAGTGACGTGACTATCGGGCACTGCAAACAGCCATATTTGCATATTGAATGCCCAAAATATTGTCATATGACTGTAGGGGGAACAGCTGTTATAACTTCAAATCCAGGACGTCAGTATTGTTTGGTGGGTTCATTGTAACTTTGATGGATCACTGAGCAACCAATCATAAGTTGAAGACTACCTATATCTGTAGCTCTGAATTAAATGGCCGTGGAGATTCTTTGTCATCCAGGTCATGGTTGTCCCAAGGGTGCTTTTTCCAAAGGCAACTGGATATTCTTTGTTTATCCCTTGAAGATGTTTCACTTCTCCTCCAAAAAACATTTTCAATTCTGAAGAAGCTTCTTGGATGAGAAGCAAAACGTCTTCAGAGAAAAACAAAGAAAGTCCAGTTGTCTTTAGAAAAAGCACCTTGGGACTCTGAATGAAATCCACTTTGGGTTATTGCTCTAAGTTTCTCCAGGCTTTAAATTTATTGTGCACGTGCGAAAAGTTTTGTAGAGATGGAAGACACCTCAAAACCAGCACAGTAGGACATCCTTCCATATTGGGTCTTGTTTAATCTTTGACGATCCATCATTCTCCCTTTAATCAATTATTCATTTCTTAAGGAGAAGAAAAAAGGTCTACAAGTTGTGCTGGTTTTGGAGAGATGCCTGGGTAGACATCTCACTGTCATATTATTTTTGGATTGAAATTTTAATTTGCTTTCCAAGAAAAAATATGAACAGATTCTTTTACTCTCAAACATTTACAGTAACCATCTCTTAATGAGAAGCTGCCTACACATTCACTGGCATATTCCCAGGATTAATCTTTCCTGGGGCCAGATTTATGCTAAAAAATCCCTCCTTATTTGTTAAAATGGTTCATCATCTGGCATGAGGGCTGAATGCTGAAAACAGTATTGCCTGGAAAAAGAGCATTTTGTGAAATGGAGAGATAAAGCTAATTCAGCTCGTATGTGGATTCTTGCAGATTTTAGAGATTAGGAAAGCAAAACTTGGGGTGAGGGGGAGGGGCAGGCAAATTTGTAACATGGCATTAGAGGAACATGGGTGGAGGAAGGAAGAGTGGAGGAAGAATATTGCGTGTTATTTTTCCAAATCAAACCCTTGTGTACAACTGGAACAAATCAAGTCAATAATATATAAATAATAAGCATTTAGTTACGTTTCCCAGTTAAATAAAATTGTCTCTCGTGGTACAAAAGCTGTCTCCTAGAAACCATTAGAATTTAGGAGCATTTTGCACCGGCAAGGTTGGCAAGGATGTTGAAAGATAAATCAGCAAAATGTTGGAAATGTCACCAGACACCAGAATTATATTATATGTGGTGAGGAAGCAAAAAGATATTGGACAAAAATACATACGTGGTTGGAAAAGATGATACAACAACACATAGATTTAAAACCTGAAATGTTTTTGTTGGGGATTATACCAGAAACTTACAGTAAAGATAAGATATTTAATTATCCATGTAGTAACCGCAGCTAGAACTGTATTTGCACAAAATTGGAAAAATGAAAAGATTCCGACAGAAGAGAATCTGATAAGGAAAATATTAGAATGTGCAGAAATGAACAGATTTACACTTGCAATTAAAGAGAAGGAACAAACTGAATATTATCAAATATGTGAATTATTTTATCAATGGCTAGAGAAAAAATATGAAGGCTAGAAATAATTATCAGGCCAGTGAAATACAAAAAATATGCTAATAAAATTGAATACATTAAGAAGAGGAATGTTATAGTAATAGAAATAATTTGTATACAGATATGATAAGATAGAGAATTAGTATTAAAACAATGAATATGGTTGTAAAATTTAACTGTTATGGCACAAGTCATTTGTAACCAGTCGACACACCGTTTAATGAAAAATGAATTGAATATATGTATTTTAAATAAAACAAAAAAAGAAGAAGTTAGGAGTAAGTATTTGATTTGCTCATTGGTTGGATGTCTTACAGGAAGTTCCTATACCTCAGAGCTATAATAATCCTTCTATTGCATTAGCTGTTCAGATTTAGGGATATCTGCATTTTTCCCAAGCTTATGGACATTCCTTTGATTTCTTTCGAAATTCCAAGCTGCAACTGAAGACATCCCCATTCCAGTAAAAGTCCACCAAGTTTAAATTGTACATGATCACTTGACAAAATCCTTTGATCTTCAAGAATTTCTCTTTCATTTGTTTGCCTGCAGATATTTCCTAATTATTCACTTCCGCCACCTCAATATCCTTTTATTTCAGGAATATTGATGAAATGTTGATCACAAATCAAACTTTAGACATGTGTTTCAAAATATTCGATACAGTATCATCTGTTATGATGGTTCCACTGTAATGGTTACGGTTAGTCCTCAGCTTACAACATTTGTTTAGTGACCATTCAAAGTTACAACAGCATTGAAAAAAAATACTTATGCTGTTTTTCACACTTGCAATCATTGCAGCTTTCCCATGGCCATGTGATCAGAATATGGATTTAGGGAACTATGGTAGCTTGTATTTATGATGTTTGCAGTGTCTGTCATGCCTTTGATAGAGTCGGACTCTGACGGAGAGGAGGAACAGCTGACAGGGAGTGGAGATGTGGCTCTGGAGGTTGTAGAGGAGGCTAGGGAAGGGCAGAAGCCGGCTGGGCAGTCAGAGGAAGAACCAGGCCCATCCCCTCTGCATCCTGGGATACGCAGGGAGGAACAGAGAAGGAAACAACTTGGCTTACGAGAGAGGAAGTGGCCATGATCCCCCTCATTGGTTGCAGCTGGGGAGAATAGTATATAAGAGAGACGATTACAACACAGCATTGCTAGAAGCAAAGAGTGTTTTATTTTGGGCTGAAGTTATCTTGGTTGGTGTCCTTCCAACAGACTGTGCCTTGTTATCTCCTTGAAGTTGGTAATTACTTATCCTGTTCCATTGTGGAAATTTCTTCATTGTAGTTTGTTTGGTTTTTTAGTTCACCTCTATCTGCTCATTAAGTTCGGACTGTATTGCTTTCTTTTGAAGACTATTTTTGAGTACATTTTATCTCCAACTGAGAATTATTGAACAGTGGGGCCAAGTTGGAGGCATTAAAGGACATTTATTTGTGTTTTGGATTTTGTCACGTTTGTGTTACACTCCGGGTCATCACAGTGTCCCAGGTTCATGTGATAGCACTTAGCAATAGCACTTAGATTTAGATACTGCTTCATGGTGCTTTTACACCATGTGCTTTACAGAATCAGCATATTGCTCCAACAACCTGGGTCCCCATTTTACTGATCTTGGAAGGATGGAAGGCTGAGTCAATCTTGAGCCGGTTGGTATCGAACTCCTGGCAGTGAACAGTGAGTTTGCCTGCAATACTGCATTTTAACCACTGCGCCACCATGGCTCATATGCGATCATCTTTTTCAGTCTTCTGCAAAGTCAACAGGGAAGCCACTTTCACTTAACGACCATATTACCAGGGGTGGGATTTTATTGGTTTGGACCGGTTCTATAGAACCGGTTGTTACAATTCTGCACAGTTTGGAGAACTGGCTGGCCCCACCCCTCTCTGTCTGCCCCTCCCCTCCCCATCCAGTCAATCCTTATTGCACCTGTGTGGCATCGCGCACATGCCTGACATCGCTGACTGCATTCTTCTCCGTCCAGTAACTCCTAAAGGTATTTTGTTTTTCCCCCCTCCTGATGATCAGCTGTTCCGACGATTCCCCTCACTGTCTTACTGCCTCACTCAGGAGGCTTCTCTGAGGCTCAGGAGGCAAAAAGGGGTGCAGGGGGTGCTGCATGCCCATCCTCCTGCTCCCTTTTTTTGCCTTCCTGGTCCTCAGGGAAGGTTTCTGGGGGCAAAAATGCACCCCCCCCCAGGAGATTTCCCTGAGGCCCAGGAGGCAAAAAAAAACCTGGAGCATGGGGTGGGGGTTGCTGCAAAAAAGAAGAGGAAGAGGAAGAGGAAGAGGAGGAGGTGGAGGAGGAGGAGAAGGAAGAAGAAGAAGAAGAAGAAGAAGAAGAAGAAGAAGAAGAAGAAGA